TTTTTTAAACCATTTAAGTATTCATCATGGGAAAAACGAAAACTTTTGCAGACTTTCTTATGCTTATCTTATGGTTTGTTTCTGTATATTCTGAATTAGACATCCACGGCCATCATCGTCTTTCCAGGGCTTAGGACCTCTAAAGCACCCCTCTGGGGTTCCTGTCTGTGGCTGGGGGCTAGCACTGAAAGCCCCTTTCAGATCCTGACAGCTGGGCCTCCATTCCGGGAAGCTCTCCCTTCTCCCTTCATTTGCATCTCATTAGCACCAACTCGAGCAGGCCGGCTCCCTGCCCCCTCCCTGGGTGGGGATGGGTGAAGTGATGCGCTCCCCACCCCCCACCTGTCCCACATCTCTCGCCTCTCTCCGCCCCACGTGCCTCAGCCCCTGGGAGGGTGCAGGCAGGCTCGGGTGCGCCCAGCCCGCCACACCCCCGACCCAGGCTCGGCTGGCTTGGCTCCCGCCGCGCGTTCCCATGGCAACGGGGTGACAGCACGGGTCGCAGTGCCTGCAAAGGAGCTCGGCGGCCGCCCAGCTCCCCGCCCCGCCGCCCAGGATGGCTTGGTGATAGGCAGCGCCTCCATCTCCCGAGATGATCGGCGATAATTGGTTTATGGAAATAGCTGAAGGGAGAAAGCGAGCTCCCAGCTAGAAACCAGCCTCCCTGCCAAGCCTGCTCTCTGCCACCTGTCCTTCCGCCACCGCGAAAATCGAGTTGAGGGAGGGGAGGGCCGAGAAGCTGGGCTGGTGGGATGAGGCTTTTGAGGCAAGCAAGTGTTTCACCTGTTGGTCTCCCGCACAGCTTCATTCCCCTTTCACCCCATAGGGGGTGGGGGTTGTTGCTATAGTAACCGGGTGTTTGCCTCAGTCACTCTCTTGACCCTTAAGTTTGTGCTCAGGCCTATGCTGGGTGCATTGCTGGGGAAATGGAAGAGGACACCCAGGTTCTGTCCTTGGTGCGCCCAATTTGGGGGACAGAGGAAGAGCCCCAGGTCTTGCCTTCAGGAAGCAACCATCTGGCAGGTGCACGTAAACTCTGTTTATGTAAAGTAGGTCAGACCACTGTTCCCGCTGTGGGGTTCCAGAGGAGGGAGAGGGCAGCTTTGGTGGCTGTCCGGAGAAGGAAGCCTCATGAGCAAGGCTTTGAAGGTGGCATTTCAGCAGGTGGGGGTGAGAGGGCTGGCACAGGTGGTTCTGGAAAGGAAGATATGGGCAAAAGCCTGCAGGCAGGAACTGGATGATGCTGGGATTAGTGGGGGAGGCTGGGCGGCTAACCAAAATGTTGGCAATTCGAATCCACCGGCCGCTCCTGGGAAACCCTATGGGGCAGTTCTATTCTGTCCTATAGGGTCACTATGAGTCGGAATCGACTCGATGGCAACGGGTTTTTGGGTTGGGAGGTGTAGGTAGTTTGGTGGGGGGCAGTGGTGGCTGGAATGTCTGCTAAAGGAGTTGAGGGACCACAAGCTTGCCAGAGGGGGGTTATTACATAGTGCTTTGTAATAAAGACTGAGCAAATGTGCAACATCCATATCAGGGAATGGCTGGATGGAGACTGTGCTGCCTAGATGCCCTTCTGGAAGATGGAAGGCCTATGAGGTGGGCAGCAGATAGGCCTCGGACACCAGGCTGTGAGAAGTGCGTACCCCAGACAGCAGATGGGAGTGGGGGCTGGGAGGCGAGGTGCATCAAAGGACAGAACTAATGAAGCCCCCACCATTGGGGAAGTGGTGGGGAATGTCAAGGAGGATGGCTATAAGGACCCTACCCCAGGGTTGAGCATGGTATTTGCCCCAGCCTTCCCCTTCCTGTAACCATCACCCTTCACTGAGCCCAGCCTGGGCCTCTGCTTTCAAGGTCTCTGGCCCTCTGAGGTCAGAGTTGTGGCCAAGCTGAGACCAGCTGGTTGTGGGATCAAGGAGCAGCTCTCTGGATCTCTTGACACCTTCACTTCTCCAGCCGTGAAGGCCACATCCCATGCACCAGGCAGGATACTGGGAGGACGAAGCAGGCCTCCTGTCTGCAGAGCCCTCAGCCCCTGTGTGATTCCCCTCTGGGTATCCCAGTCCCAGTCCTAAACCTTTGTGTGCTCTTATTCCAAATATCCATATCTGCTCTGTGTCACAGCCTTGCCCTGCCCCCACTGTCGCCAGTACTTACACTATCACATAGGGCCATGGCTCTGAGCCATCCTTGCGGGCAGGTAGGTTGATAGCTCCATGGACAGTGATCACGATGGTCTCCTTATTAGAGGGGGACAGGTGGCTGATGCCAGACTCCATGTTCTGAGAGGTGTCCAGGGGCTCCTGTGGGTCCTTGGAGTCCTGTGGGGAGAGCCAGGCTGAGTGGCCTCTTCGGGTGTGGCCACCTCCCTTAACTGCCACCCTATGGCCTCCAGTTCCCCTCTGGTAGCTGTCTCCCCGTGTCATCCCACCACCCCAGTCTGGAATTACAGCAGCAGTTGCCTTTGACCTCATCTTCTCCCTACCTCTGCCCTGCACCCTACATCTCTATTCCTCCCTGACCTCACTCCAAGTCCTGGACCCGTCACTTCCTGCAGATTGAAGAAGACCCTTTTGGTCTTCTTACCGCCAGCCTGTCCCCCTCCAGACCGCCTCTCTTGGCTGTAGCCATCTTGGTCAGTCTAGAATGCTGTCTCCTCTGTCACACCCCAGCTCAAGAATGTGCTATGCCTCCCTCCTGCTGCTGTCCTCTACAACCCTGCCAGGATGAGAGCAGGCTGTAGGGGCAGGAAAGCCCCCACTCCCCACCTGGCCTCCTGCTCCTTAAGACCAGACCACCTCACCTTTCAAGCCCATTGCCACCTCCAAGCCTTTGCTTTTGCAGATAACTTTGCCTGAAATTCTGAAATCCCACCTGCCTTTGAGGTCCTAGCAACTGGCCATCTTCAGTCTATCCTGTCACCTCACTTCAGTCCACCTGTCACCTCAGGTCCCGCCTGTTTATAGCGCTTTACAGTTTACAAAGTTTATCAGCATCCATGGAGTCGCTTGGTGCATTAATGGAGGTGAATGAATGTGCCAGTCCCAGATGCCACATCCAGCATCCACCCAGGGAACCCTGTGGGCCAGCAAGGAGGGCGAGGTGCCTGCCCATGTACAGGACTCGGGTCCTAGGCTGGTTGTCCCAAACAGATACACGTGCCGGGGCTCAACAGCTGTGGATTCACAGCCTGAAGTACCATGGTGACGGGAGTTGCTGAGAGGAGACCAAGGCCATGGCTGGCTGGGGCAGTCAGGGAAGGCTTCTGGGAGGAGGAGGCCTTGAAGGTTGGGAGGTGCTGCTTGAATGGAGCCAGGGAGGACAAGCGAGAAAGCAGAACACCGTAAGCCAAAGCAGCAAAGTAGGAAGGGCGGGGCTTTCTCAGGCCCAAGGAAGCCCAGTTTGACTTTGAAGGCAGTGGGGAGTAAGGGAAGGTGACAGAGCTGGGCATGTGGGGTGCAGCGCGTGTATCTTGGGAACAACCCTGGCCCCTCCTACTGATTAATCAGCACCAGCTGATGTGAAGGGGCCACAGAGGAGTGCTGCCGGCCCTGGGAGAGGAGCAGTGGACCTTTCCAGGTCAGAGATGGGGCCCTGAGGGGGCCACTGGGGGCTGACCCTTTTGTCTGGAGAGCCCAGACTGTCCGATTCAGCATTCCAGGTCAGGCCCTAGTCAGGTGGGGGTGTCTTCAGAGTGGGAAGGGCCCATGGAGATCCTTGAGAACAATGTCCTGTTACACAGAGTGGAAGACTGGGACCCAAAGAAGAGCGAGGGCCCAGGTCCCTGTGAGGGTTTTGGCTCTGGTGGCACCAGTGGAAGGCTGGGTCCCTGGCTCGGTCTGACCAGCTCCTGAGGAGCAGCGACTGTCTGGAGACTTGGGTTTAAACCAGCTCTGCCTGTGTGATCCACAGCCAGTCACACTCTGAGGGTTGGTTTCCCCAACTGGATAGCGAGAGGTGGACCAGCACGACTGGAACTGGCCCAGGTCCTCCACACACTGTCAGCCCACTGCC